CCTGAGATGGATTTGGAACCGTCAGTGTAAACATGAATGCTGGAGGAATGAATGGAGACATGGTCAAGGAAATGAGTGAGAAGGATAGAGGGGGGAATATCTGATTTTGGTGGGTCAGGGAAAACTGAGGAGCAAATACAGGGGTTAGGTATAAGCCATGGAGGAATGGAATGGACAGACAGTGGGAGAGGTCGGAGATGAGGGAAGGGGGAATGGGAGAGGAGGGTATCCATGCGTACGGGGAGAGGAGTTGGTAAACGTGGAGAAGAGGTAAAGGTATGAAGCAAGGATTGTGGAATAGTTATTTTAGTAAGGGAAAATTGGTGAAATCGAGCATAGCATCGGAGAGAGAGAGAAGGGCTTGACGTCGAGAGAGGGACAGCATGCCTGATTCAGTATATAGGCTCTCAACTGGAGAGGAGCAGAAGGCGCCTAGGGCTAAGCTGAGACCGCTGTGGTGGATTGTATCAAGGTGAGCAAGAAGAGAGGTTGAGGCAGAGGAGTAGATATGGCATCCATTATCTAGAGTGGAGAGAATCAAGGTAACATGAAGATGGAGGAGAGTTTTGCGATCTGAGCCCCAGGAGATATGTGAAAGAGTTTGTAAGATTCGGAGGCGACGTTGAGCTTTTTCTTTGGTGTACAAGATATGGTCTCGCCAGGACAATTTGGAATCAAATATAACGCCTAGGAATTTGCCAGAAGAACGGTATTGGAGTGGAGCATTATATAAGAAGAGTGGGGGTTTGGGGACCGTACGTGAGCGAGAGAAAAGGATAGAGAAAGATTTAGAGGTAGAGAAGCGAAAGCCATGGTTGGTGGCCCAAGAAGTTACTGATGTTATTGTGGACTGAAGGAATTGACAGAGATCTGGTATGGATGTGCCAGATGCATAGATGGTTAAGTCACTAACATATAGTGATGCTCGGGCTCCTGGTGGTAGGACTGAGACTATGTCATTTACAGCAAGAAGGAATAAAGTGGTACTGAGCACACTTCCTTGTGGGACGCCTTCGAATTGAGGAAAGGATGGTGACGTGGAAGAAGCAATCTTGACCTGGAAAGTACGTTTAGAAAGGAAGGATTTAATGAAAACGCCCATGTTTCCACGTAAACCAAAGGAGGACAAGTGTTGGAGGATATGGTATCGCCATGTGGTGTCATATGCTTTTTCTAGATCAAAGAATATGACTGATACGGATTCATGGCGTGCAAATGCTGATGTAATGTATGTCTCGAAATGGGCAAGTGGGTCTGCTGTACTTCGGGCACGTCGGAAACCAAACTGGGAAGGGGAAAGGAGATTATGAGATTCAAGGTACCACATTAAACGGAAGTTAACCATTCGTTCTAGTAGTTTGCACAAGCAGCTAGTTAGAGCTATGGGGCGGTAATCTTGGGGTAGGGTACCTGATTTATTGGGTTTTAAGAAAGGTAGGATAAGAGCATCTCGCCAATGAGAAGGAAAATTTCCTGACGTCCATATGTGGTTGAAAATAGTTAAAAGGAAGGATAGAGAGGAAGATGGGAGGTGTCGGAGCATACGATAATGAATACCATCAGGGCCTTCATGAGTGTTGCGGCCCGACTGTAATGCAGCGTTGAGTTCAGAAGAAAAAGGAGCATTATAGGACTCATCAGAGGATAGGGTGAAGGTAATAGGGGTGTGTTCCTTGATGGCTTTAATGGAAGAAAAGTGTGGGGAAAGGTGAGAGCCACTACTGATCTGGCTGAAATAGTCACCCAGTTCATTAGCTACTTCGACAGGCTCAGAGATGAGAATATCTCGAATATGGAGGATGGGGGGGATGTTTGCCTGATAATTTATGGATCCGTCGCCAAACAGCTGAAATAGATGTAGAAGATGTAATTGAGGAAACATAATTTTGCCAGCTGTTTGTTTTGCTGTTTTAATTGTACGGCGAAGATGGGCAGATGCTCTTTTAAAGGAAATAAGGGCTGATAGCTGGTGAGGGGTGCCTCGTTTGCAGCGATAGCTGTTCCAGGCTGCTCGTTTTAAGCGAAGCGTTTTGGTGCAATCAGAATTCCACCATGGAACACATGGTGGAATTCTGATTGCACCAAAGGTATAAGGTCTTGAAGTTCGAGGAATGGCTGTATAGGCAGCTCTTAGGATCGTGGTTGTAAAACAATGTAGCATATCTGAAATGGACGGTAAGGGGGGTGGAGGGATATGTATAGTAGAGTGTCAAGTGAAAGTATGCCAGTCAGCTCTATCAAAGCACCAGCGTGGAGGATTAGGAAGTGGTACATATGAAGTAGGAGAAAGGAGTATTGGGAAGTGGTCACTATAGGGGAAGTGGTCTAGAACTGACCAATGGAAATCTAGATGTAAAGTAGGAGAGCATAGAGAGAGGTCAAGGCATGAAAAGGATTGTGTGCGCATGTCAAAGTGTGTGGGGCGATCTGAATTAAGAATAATTAGGTTATTTGTGAAGAGGAAGCGTTCTAGAGATCTGCCTCGGGAGTTGTTGGTAGAGTCACCCCACAGAGTGTGGCGGCAGTTGAATCACCAACTACGAGGAAAGGTGGTTGGAGTTGGGAAATTAGAGTCTCAAATGCAGTAAAGTCAATGGGATGGGATGGGGAGAAGTAGACTGAAATCACTGTGATCCAGCGGCGAAGAAAGATGCGAATAGCTGTGCACGGGACAGAAGTTTGTATGGGAGGTATGACATAAGGTGTTTGGTAATTGGGAACTGGAATAGGAGGGTGTGTGAGGAAAGTCTCTTGGAGGCAGATAATAGATGGATTATAAGAAGGAAGGATATGACGTAGGTCTGATCTATGAGAGCGGAAACCGCGAATATTCCAATGTAGGAGAGCTATATCCTAGTTTATTTACGAATGATAACGCAAGTACGCGTTGGGGAATTTGAAGGGGAAGGAGCTAGGGGGTGTAAAGGAGGGATATTAGGAGGTAGAGAATCTGGAGAAGGGCATTGTTGTGACATGAATGATTCTCGTGTGTATCCGGGGGGAGTGCAAAGGATAGAGGGGATGGAGGGAGGGAGAATGTGCCTATAGTTGGGGTTGAAGGGGGTGGGTTGTGTTGGGAGGGAGTAGATGTGGGGGGAGTATTAGTGTTAGGAGGATAAATATCGGAAGGATGGATAGTTGGAGTTGAAGGGGATGTGTTGTCTTGGGAGGGATTAGGAGGAAGGGGTGTAGGGGTGCTGTGAGTAAGAGGGGGATGCATATCAGGAGGATGGGTATTGGGAGGATGGATATCGGAGGTGGACGGAATTGAGGGGGTTAGGTTGTGTTGAGAGGGAGTAGGAGGAAGGGGTGTACGAGGGGGATGGATATGAGGGGGATGGATATGAGGGGATGGATATCAGGAGATGGATATCAGTGTGGACGGGATTGAGGGGTTAGGTTGTGTTGAGAGGGAGTAGGAGGAAGGGGTGTAGGGGGAATATTAGTAGGAGGGGTATGAGTATCGGCAACCACTTCAAGTGTGGAAGGAGCATGAGTTATGGGATCTTGTGTCTCAAGCATATAGCTTTGAATGTCATCCATTGTTTCTGCAGTGGAGTTGGTTGGAGAGTTTTGTGAGAAGGTAATTGTTTCTGCAATGGAATTGGTTGGAGAGTTTTGTGGGATAAAGGTTTTCTTATGAGGGGGGGAAGAGGAGACTGGTGTCTCAGGAACAAAGGTATGGGTAGGTGGAGGTGATTGTGCTGTAGGGGAAGAAGGGTTAGAACGTTTAGTCTGTCTACTGCGGGTAGTGCGGGGAGGGAGAGGGGTTGGTTTTGGGGCTGTAGTTGAGATAGGAGCTGTGGTTGAGATTGGGGTGTCTAGATTTAGAGTGGCAAAAGAATTGGTCTGAGGGATGTAGAATGTAGAAGTGGAAATGGGGACATTTTGGGGTGGAGGGGAGGGGCTGAGCAAACGATGTTACTAGAGTATGGAGTACGAGAGAAACCTTGTTGACGTGCTTCATGTCTGGCTTCACGTAAAGTGAGACCATTTTTGTATCTGAGAGTTGCTACCTCAGATTCAAACTTGTAAGTGGGACAGCCTCTATAAAATACATTATGGGGGCCGCCGCAGTTATCACATGTTCATGTTTGTGCCGAGTAGTTTGATCGATTATGATGGATGGTCGGGGACGTGTAGAAGAGGGAGTATTACGGAATGATGGAGAATAAGGCTGCAAGGTAGTAATAAGGGAGGATTGGTTGCTTGATGAAAGTTGCGGGGGTAGAGTTGATGAATTTGAGGAAGTTGGGTGGGTAGGAATGTCTTCTGGAGACTGATTTTCTGCTTGGGTGGGTAATGCACTAGTAGGCATTGAGGAGTGGGTAGCAGTTTGTGTTCGGAGCCGTGGTCAAAGGAGAGCCTGGGTTGGGGCTTTTTGATAAAGGGGCTAGCCTCATTGGCTCTAATAAAGGGATTACATTTTCATTACTGGTCATGGGGAACCTGGATTATATAAAAGGCATCAACTGGTCCACCTCCATTGCTAGTGAAAGATAAGGGCTAGATTAGTCGGGAGTACCGTGCCCATAGTTCCCGCAGGCCGTTCAGGACTGGCACAAGGTCAGCCTTTCATCCTCTCAGCACGGCTCTCACACCTTAGGAAGTAGATAGTAGAAGGGTTTGGAGAAGGGATGGAAACAAAGCTGGAGGGGGAAAAGACCCTGCAAAATTAGCCGAGTCGAGGGCTGAGGCCCTAGGCAGGGGAGATCCCTGCATTGGGTCTCAGTCTCCGTCTCCTAAGCCCCCCCACGACAACAACGGGCAAGGGATTGGGGGGGGTGTCCATGAGAAGCCTGAAAATAAGTGGGGATGATTAACGGACCACCCCTCAGGGTCCCCATGAGGGGTAAGGGCTAGATAACTACCTAGGGAACACGTGCACCATGCCCATGGCTCCCTGAGGCCGTTCATGACTGGCACGACTCTCACATTTTAGGAATTGGATAGAGGAAGGGGGGGGGGGGCTAATGTGAAGGTCCTCATTAAAAAACAAGAAAATATTCATGTTTATTGACAGTATTACCTTATAACACAGTTATTGGACTGACACCGTTGGCCTTCTGACACTCCATAGAATAGATACAAGCAACTGGATTATTTCATCTACTTTTATTTGTAAGCTCACAGGGAAATATGGAAGCAAATGTATGATTCTCATCTGTCATTATACTGCTTTTTGGGCAAAACTGAGGTGATGTACAAGCACGAACCTTTAGTGAATTCATAATCCAGTCCAGTTCATAAGGTAATTTAATAGGGTAGTCTTATAGCTTAAACTATGTAGTTGCAATTTTCCCAGTACCTGTTCAATCATTCTGATAAAAACAATAATATATTAAATTATTTCTTTGTATTTTCTGACGACTTCCCATTAAACACAAACTAGAAACCAAGTTGGATTAACAATGGTATAGCATGAGAATTAAAATGAATCTTCCCAGTTTTGCACACGATTCTGTTTGAGAACCTGAAGTTTCTGGATGACATCAGGAACACTATGCTCGCCGTGTACCTTGTTGTCTCGAGTGCGCACATTGACAGTGTTGTTGGTCTTCTCTTTCTCCCCTACCACAAAAATGAAATTGTATTGCTCAAGTTGAGCATTCCTAATCTTCTTATTCATAGTATCACCAGGATCTACATCATAATCAGCTTCGAAGCCTGCCTCATAGAGCTGTTTTTTAACAGACTTGGCATAATCATCAAACGGTGGAGCTACAGGCACCACCATGCACTGTCGTGGAGACAGCCAAAATGGCCACTTTCCTCCATAGGATTCCGTGAGGATGGCAATCATTCGTTCAACTGAGCCTAGGATAGCTCTATGGATTATAACAGGTCTCTTCTTTTCCCCTGATTCTGACACATAATGTAGATCAAATCTGTTGGGCAACTGGAAATCAAGCTGGATTGTAGCACACTGGTGTTGCCGTCTTAGGGCATCAGTCACAGTGATATCAATCTTTGGGCCATAGAATGCTCCATCTCCAGGGTTGAGCTTCCATTCTTTACCATATTTATCCAAGGACTCCTTCAGCTGTGATTCTGCTTTATCCCACATTTCAATCTCGCCCATAAACTTTTCTGGTCGGGTTGATAGCTTGAGCACAAAATCAAAACCAAAAGTTTCATAAACAGCAGAAAGAAACTCCAGACAATTACTGATTTCATCCTTGATCATCTCAGGTGTACAGAAGATGTGGGCATCATCTTGCTGGAATCTCCGCACACGAGTCAGGCCAGTTAGAGCTCCTGATAGTTCATTACGATGCAAAACACCAAAGTCAGCCATGCGAAGTGGTAGTTCACGCCAAGATCGGCTGGTGTGTGAAAACATCAAACAATGGCCAGGGCAGTTCATGGGCTTCAGTGCATACTTCTCCTTTTCAACCTCAAAAGCAAACATGTTGTCAGCATAGTGCTCCCAGTGACCAGAGGTTTGCCACAATTTGGTGTTGTACACATTAGGTGAAATAACTTCCTGGAATCCCCGAATGCGGTACTGCTGGCGGATGAATTCAACTAAAGTATTGTAGATGTAAGCTCCACGGGAAGAGAAAAAGCAGCTACCTGGACTTAACTCGTGGAAGAAGAACAGCTTCTGTTGAATACCTACAAAGAGAAGAATATTTTTATATACTCTATAAATAACATTTTTGAAAATATGCAAGTTCTGTAGAGACAACTGTGATACATATTTTTTAGTTTCTTACATAGAAATAAGTAAAGAAAAAATAAACCAGACTTGTTAGCTATATACATCATTTAATAATCATTACTTTTAAAACACATTAAAAAAAAATAATAATAAATAAAAATAAATAAAAGAATAAAATATAAAATACAGATGGCAAAATTAAACAATGACGAAGATTCATTCATATGAGGCCCCATCTGTGAGAGGGCCGTAACCCACAAAAATGGAGGTTTGGAGTTACAAACTTGTAGGAATATTAAAGAAGCAAGTTGTCAGTTTCCTGATGGGTTAATTTAGAAAATCCATCCACGAAGCGATACTAAATATTGTGCGAGAGGGGTTTAACCAGAACCAATGAAAACGGAAAAAAATTTTATTGAGGAAAAAAAATTATATGAAAAAATGACAATCCTTTCTTTTTTCTCATTAATTTTATATATTTTGTGTAGTTTTCATTCATTTAATTTAATAATTTCTTGTGGAAAAACTGGAATTGAAGATTTGTTACATACATAATATATATATATATATATATATATATATATATATATATATATATATATATATATATATATATATATATATATATATACACACACACACTCAAATTTTACTTTGTCTTTTTTTCTCATTCTTCTTTTTTATAACAAGGCACGACAGAACTAGCCTAGACCTTTATTTTGATGCATAATAGTAATACATTCAACTGCTTCACTCATTGCAATGTTATTAACTTTGATTGCAACTTACATTCTACTGCTTTACTCATTGCAATATGTTATTAACTTTGATTGCGACTTACTCAAAACTTAGATTTTGGGGTTAACCACCTCTCACTTATGGGGCCTCATATATAGAATTCTCCTACATACTTACCTAATTTCCTGTGGTCCCTCTTTGCTGCTTCCTCCTGGAAATGTTTCCACTCTTTCAGCATTTTAGGATCGGGGAAGCTGATGCCATACACACGCTGCAAGGACTCTGCTTCACTGTTGCCCTCCCAGTAAGATGCCGAGTTCTTAGTAACCTGGAAAAGTTTATAAAAAATAAACATTTTGGTTTCCCAAAAATCAGATAAAAGAACATGAAGAAACCACTAATCTTCAAGTATAATACTTTGTCAAGCTAATGAATTTTCTACAATTACAATATGTTACACAAACTTTTCCAAATTTCTCCTATACTTACTGTGAAAGCCTTCACTTTGCCAGTATGACGTACATGGGGCCCACGACACAAGTCAATAAGGGGTCCACATCGGTATACAGTGGTGGTGTCAGTCTTCACTTTCTCATTTAACAAGCGTACCTGTTACAAGTCATAACTTATTAAATGTTATTTCGCTATTTAACAATAAGCTAAAATGTATGGAATTTATGAAAAATAAATAAATACAATATAATAATAGAGTAAAGTATTAATCTAAACATCAAACCATCTACTGAAAAATTACCTAAACACATTCTTAACCCAATGACCACAGATGGCATGAAATGTATGCAATTTCCACTGCAACTTTCCTTGATTAGTTTTGTTTACACTGAGATGGCTCCACAAGTACTTAGTCACCAATTACATAATTATCAGTCATATCTCTCACTTGTTTACCCTTTTCCCAATTTTGGGGGTAGATTAATCTTTATTACATTTATTTCATTATTAGCACTATTTTAATAACATAATAATAACAATAATAATCATCATCATCATCATCATCATAATAATGATAATAATAATAAAAATAATAATGACAGTATCAATTTTAATAGTTTAAAAAAGATCAGGGAGTATAGAAATTATTATGGTTATTATGGCCAGATCAAATAGATTCCTTGATGGCTGCAATGGAGCCATCTGTGCAACAAAATTCACAAAAACAATAACTACTGACCTTGAACTGGTTATATTTGAACATCTCAAGCAAATCTGATTTCTTCATTTCCAGTCTTTCAAATGGTTGCTTCTCTTTTGTTATCTTCTTCATGACATCTTCTATCCCAGAGAAATCACTAGAACTTACTCCAGGGCCATCGTTATACATGTCATAGTAAAAACCATCTTCAATGGGAGGACCGTAAACCAGATGGCCTCCATACACACGTTCCATTGCCTCACCCAGGATATGGGCTGAGGAGTGCCAGAAGACCTGAAGAAAATACAAATATAAGAAAAAACACAGAAATGATTTATATATATATATACAGATCTATATACACAAACATATATACAGTGCACATCAGAAATCTTGTCGCGAGAGGGACCGCGTCAAGATTTTTGACATTTTTCGGTAATGCCCCTCTAATATCATGCAAATTGACCTATAACCTTGATGCCCCGTCAGCTGATAGATTACTCATCTAACTCCACATTGGTGGTTTCAGATATCACTAAATTATCTCTGGGCAGTGACAGTGAGCAGAATTGCTACGTGCTTTTTTCGTGAATAGCCTAGCATTTTGTCTGAGTTCTGTTGCTGTTTTTGGTCAGTGTGCTGTGATGGCTGCCTCAAGGTTGGGGACTGATAAGGTATCATGCTCACGTAATGTTTTACATTTTAATATACATATAATATATATATAATATACTCATAGCCTAATCCTCTGTCATTCTTCCCTCACATACCTCTCCACACAACATATCATATAGTTTCAGTTTAGCATGACAGTAAGTTTTCATTGCATTAGTCAGCAACTACTAGCACATTTATGGTAATTTTTAAATCCTTTCATTCAATATGTCAAGGGTAACTGTGGTAATATTTACATTTTTGACACTACTGTGCAGTGTGAATTTGAACTATAAAAATCAAATGTAAATTTTCTAGTGTAAAATCAAGCTCTTGAAATGAGAGACCAAAAAAATTGTCTTAGTGTAAAATCTGGATTTTCTTCTCAGCCAAGTCAGCTAAACTAAAGGATTTGCAGTTCTTATGAGTTATGCATGGCTGAGGGAACATATCAATCCCAGTTAAAATGATGAATGAATTTTCATATTTCAAATAATTTTTTTTTTCATGATTACATGTCATATAGTTACTAAGTACACATACTTAAAAATATATAGAATATTGTCTGCAAGGCATGCAAAATCAAGGATGTTATAAATGTTTCTTATCACATCAAACTTCTTCACAATTTTATTGGGTCCAACTGTGTTGATGCACTATCATTTTAAGGTACAAAAAATGGACAGAGAGCATGAGAGAGAAAGGGTAAGTTAAGTCTTAAATTTGGAGAATTTGATTTTATACACCAGAAAATGTTTATCATGTGATATGTGAAATGGCTGTAGAGCAGCAAAGCTACTAAATTTTTAACAGTAACTAAAAGGCATAGAAAGCGGAGGCATGGAGAGGGGGAAAGGAAGTATGCAATTCTGCTGAAATGTGTGAATAAGACCTAAACAATTCTAGTCCATTACCACGCCTCCCTGATATCCCCTATTCATTCTCGTTCATGCCTTATCTACTTTTGTCAACATATGATTAAAAGTTGACACCCTATGGCCTAAAACCGTCAACTACAATTAGGCAAGGTCATGTTATTCCTGTACTAGTTTTTAGCTATACTCCTACATAGTTGTTCTGTGTAAGCTGGCTTCATTTCCAATTTTAATTTCACAAAATACAAAAAATCCTCAGTAAAATATTATGGAACTCACCTGCTTAGCTTCATCATTATCAAACTTTAGGAGCTGTAAACTGCAACTTTCTTCAAGGGGCCGGTCCAGATCCCACAAAACACCATTAACTTTTGCAATAACAGTGTTTTCTGCAAGGCCTTGAGAGATGGACTGTGCAATCTCGTAAGGGGTGGTCTGCCAGGACTTGCCATCTTTTACTGCTCCATCAGGCAGAGTAACCTATTCAAGGTAGAAAACATAAATGAGGAAAGTGAAAAAAGAATATCAGTTTCAAGATCACAGAACCCATGAAGAGAAAAGTTAATGAAATCAATACATACCTGAATGGGCTCTGACACCTTCCCTGCCAATGCCTCATCTGCTTCTTTCTTGAGGCGGTCCCAAAGTGCTAGCCTCTCCTGAATGTAGACAGGCCAGGGATTCAACTCGGTCACTTTCCCACCTCCACCTCCCTTCTCCTTCTTGCCCTGGAAGTTTAACAAAGAAACTTGATTAGGTGCTCTCCACAAGGATTAATATTAATAGGCTATTTCCTTTAAGGCCATTAATGAAGTATGGGTTTTACTAATTGTTGTAAACCTTGAAATAATAAATCTTGTGCTACAAAATACAGGTTGGATCTTGTTAGTCCAGCAAGCTTTGGACTGGATATATGCCAGCAGAGAATTAGAAAATGGAAAGGTTCATTTGGCTACAGCCATATTAGTGCTCCTTTACTACATTCATTGATGGTTTACTGGCTTTGAAGAAACTATTCATCTGATGAGATGCTAATAGGTCTGCAATTCAAATGCACTAGTCAACCTAGAAAAGAATAAAGAACAGTTTCCTCTTTTCTGCGATTTTTTTTTCTGGTTCCTTATTTGAAAGAAAACAAAGAAAGAAAGAAAGGAAAGGAAAGAAAAAACACCTTTCATGTTTTATCTACATCAAGTTTGCCAGAACACTGCATGGGGTCAACTTTTGGGCGTATCTGGCGGGCATAATGCAGCAGGTAATTTGTCTGGTATCGTCCATTCTGTACTCTCTCAGATGTGTTTAAATATATAAACTTTATTTCAGGTGGTACCAATGATATTTGATCCAGCCTAAATTTTTTGGCCCTTTGTGGGTGTCTGGCGGTCCTAATGCAGCTGGCCATGTCACTTTGTACATGGTGGAATGTTACCTTTCATTCAAAAGTAGTTTCATTCAGTACCTTTCATGTTTCATCTACATTAATTTTCCCATAGCAGTGGGGTGGGTCACTTTTGGGGGTGTCTGGCGGGCATAATGCAGCAGGTAATTTGTCTGGCATTGTTCATTCTGTACTCTCTCAGATGTGTTGAAGTATGTGAATTTTATTTCAGTTGGGACCAATATTTTTTTTTGCCCTTTTTGGGGGTCCCCAAGGGCCAAACGCAGCAGGGGTTCCCCGGCAGATCCAGTTCTCTTCAATTGGTGCCAAGTTCATTTGACCAAACCTCCCTTGGCTGCCAGTCTAAAGTGTCTTTTAAGTATATGCCTAAATCTTAAATATAGAAAAATAAATTTTATTTTCATGGTTCTTGCATACAATATAATGGATGTTTATATACAAGAGTGTGTGCGTGAGTGTGTGTGTGTGTGTGTATATAAGTGTGTGCGTGTGTGTGCATGTGCGTGTGTGTGCATGTGTGTATGTATGTAAGTGTGTACGTGTGTGTATATAAGTGTGTGCGTGTGTATATAAGTGTGTGCATGTGTGTATATAAGTGTGTGCGTGTGTGTGTATATAAGTGTGTGCGTGTGTGTATATAAGTGTGCGTGTGTGTGTATATAAGTGTGTGCGTGTATGTGTGTATAAAAGTGTATGCTTGTGTGTGTGTGTGTTATATAAGTGTGCGTGTGTGTGTGTATATATAAGTGTGTGCATGTGTATATATAAGTGTGTGTGTATAAGTGTGTGCGTATGTGTGTGTATATGTGTGCGTGTGTGTATATAAGTGTGTACGTGTGTGTATATAAGTGTGTGCATGTGTGAGTGTATATAAGTGTGTGTGTGTGTATATAAATGTGTGCGTGTGTGTGTGTATATATAAGTGTGTGCGTGTGTATATAAGAGTGTGCGTGTGTGTGTGTACAAGTGTGTGTGTGTGTGTGTACAAGTGTGTGTGTGTGTGTACAAGTGTGTGTGTGTGTGTACAAGTGTGTGTGTGTGTGTGTACAAGTGTGTGTGTGGTGTGTGTGTGTGTGTGTGTGTGTGTGTGTGTGTGTGTGTGTGTGTGTGTGTGTGTGTGTGTGTGTGTGTGTGTGTGTGTGTGTGTGTGTGTGTGTGTGTGTGTGTGTGTGTGTGTGTGTGTGTGTGTACAAGTGTGTGTGGTGTGTGTGTACAAGTGTGTGTGTGTGTGTGTACAAGTGTGTGTGTGCGTGTGTGTGTGTGTATAAGTGTGTGCGTATGTGTGTGTATGTGTGCGTGTGTGTATATAAGTGTGTACGTGTGTATATAAGTGTGTGCGTGTGTGAGTGTATATAAGTGTGTGTGTGTGTATATAAATGTGTGCGTGTGTGTGTGTATATATAAGTGTGTGCGTGTGTATATAAGAGTGTGTGTGTGTGTGTACAAGTGTGTGTGTGTGTGTGTGTGTGTGTGTGTACAAATGTGTGTGTGTGTACAAGTGTGTGTGTGTGTACAAGTGTGTGTGTGTGTGTGTACAAGTGTGTGTGTGTGTGACAAGTGTGTGTGTGTGTGTGTACAAGTGTGTGTGTGTGTGTGTACAAGTGTGTGTGTGTGTACAAGTGTGTGTGTGTGTGTGTGTGTGTGTGTGTGTGTGTGTGTGTACAAGTGTGTGGTGTGTGTGTGTACAAGTGTGTGTGTGTGTGTGTGTACAAGTGTGTGTGTGTGTGTGTGTACAATGTGTGTGTGTGTGTGTGTGTGTACAAGTGTGTGTGTGTGTACAAGTGTGTGTGTGTGTGTGTGTGTACAAGTGTGGTGTGTGTGTGTGTGTACAAGTGTGTGTGTGTGTGTACAAGTGTGTGTGTGTGTGTGTACAAGTGTGTGTGTGTGTGTGTGTACAAGTGTGTGTGTGTGTGTGTACAAGTGTGTGTGTGTGTGTACAAGTGTGTGTGTGTGTGTGTGTGTGTGTGTGTGTACAAGTGTGTGTGTGTGTGTACAAGTGTGTGTGTGTGTGTGTGTGTGTACAAGTGTGTGTGTGTGTGTGTGTGTGTGTGTGTGTGTGTGTGTGTGTGTGTGTGTGTGTACAAGTGTGTGTGTGTGTACAAGTGTGTGTGTGTGTGTGTGTGTGTGTACAAGTGTGTGTGCGTGTGTGTGTGTGTGTGTGCATGTGTGTATACAAGTGTGTGTGTGTGTGGCGTGTGTGTGTGTGTGTGTATATAAGTGTGTGTGTATATAAGTGTGTGTGTATATAAGTGTGTGTGTGTGTGTGCAACAAGTGTGTGTGTACAAGTGTGTGTGTGTGTGTGTGTGTGTGTGTGTGCGTGTGTATGTGAATAAGTGTGTGCGTGT